CACACCCACACCCACGCCCACACCCACACCCACACCCACACCCACACCCACCCGTCTTTACCGATGATTTCAATCATATTTAAATCAAAAATTAAATTATGAATTTAGTTGTTCAGCTCTGATGAATTGATATTTGTATCATGAGTACAACCCGTGATCTATCTCGAATGGTTTTCTCTCTCGATTCTCCTATGTCTTTTCGTTTCTGTGATTTTTGCATTGTATGTTTGTTTGTTATCATATAAGTATATGATGCATTCTTTATGCGTCTCATTCTTTTCCGTTTCTGTTTCTTCTGATACGTGCTTCATATGTGAAACCATATGAGATAAGATTTTTTTTTGTGTAAGAGAAATTCGTTACCAATTGGTGGTGATGAGAGAAGTTGGATGTGAAGATATGCAATAAAAATATCGTAATTTGTAAGATGCAACACATAGACATATTGTCTTTCAACGATAAAAGTCGTGAATAGAAAATATTTATATAATTAAGTTTTATTGGAAATCTTTTTAAACTGTATAACGTCTTTTTCAATTTTGATCAATGATTATTTCATGTGGTACTATCTTTATTTAATAATTAAACTCGACAAATAAGTCAAAACAGTCAATGTAGTTGTCAAGGGCAGTTTGAGGACACTGTGTCGATGAGTCTACCACTGTTATATGATATCTTTCTTATGTGATATGACGCTCATCGAACAATCCTATGAACATGAAATATATTTTCTATATGGTTAAATCTCTACTATCGGTATTGTGTATTTGCTTTACCCTGTTCTTTCTTTTCTCTGTCCTTCATCTTCTTATTTATGATACTATGCTCTTTGTAACATGAACACAATTGGAGGATAGAGTAGTAGAGTAAACGTCATATACTGAGAATAAAGGTAAAGCTACTTCTCCAGTTTGTCATTGTGATCACAATAAAATAAATGTTGCGACAAATAATGAACGTCCCATTCTCTTTTAGAACTTATTATAATAGATTTTTCTAAATAAGTGTGTTATGGCAGAAGATATCTTTTATAAGATAAAGAATGTTTAATTTCGTTTCATACTATAATTTCGATATTAGTTTTACTCCAATCGGTCTAATGTCATGCTTTTACTTTGTTGTTCTCAGAATAGAAAAAAAATATATATGAAAGAAGAACGCTAAATAAGCAGTAACAAAGTGATTAATAAAAATAATTTATCTTCTCTTTATTCTCACGATCAAATTACATACTTGTTCGATTCCTATATACTGAATGCGTCATTGACTATGTCTACAAGATAAGAAAAAATATTCTTATCACATTGTATATTAAATCAGCAAAAAAAACAACGTTGTACACACAGAAGTATGTATTTCATATAGTTTTATTCGCAGTGTTTTTCATCAGACATTGATTATGCAAATCTTTTGTTTTTTTCTATTCGATGTAAAATAATTAGTATCGTTTTTAGTAGATTTCAAAACTAATCAATTAATATATTGAAAAAAGTTCTAAAAAAAAACAAATTTAAAAATATTCTTAGAAGATTTTCACTATTGTTTGATACTAACAATATTGTGTATTGTTGATCAGATTATCTTTTCTATACAGATTAACTATTTTTGAATTTTTACATATTTTTTACGAAAAATCGACCATAAAAGTATTTTTTTTTTCGCAAACTGAATACTTTTTATTAGCCTAAAACACTAAGTCCATGAGAAAAGATAAATCAGACTATTCTATTTCATTTAATATTCGTAATATATTTGATCAACTCATTTTCATATGAAATTTTATTATCAAGACAAAAATTATTAATTATTTAAAGATTAAAGTTTATCATAAATTTATTTACGGTAGTATGGTTTTTATTTAAGTAAAACTTATATTTTGATAAAACAAAATTATTCATTGTTAGTATAGCTAAAAAAATTGAAAAAACAATTTTAAATTTACATCTAAAAGCACTCTTATACATCCAATTTAGATTATACAATGAAACATTTTTCATCAAGTCTCGAAGAAAATGAAGATTATTCCGATGTTGAATCAATCAAATCGAAAGCTAGTCCACCTAATATAACTTGGCAACATACATGGTCATTTAATGAAACAAAAAATGCACTGACACAATCTGTATTTGCTAGAATTCCAAGCGAAATCATGTTACGCATATTCAAATTATTCTCTGTACCTGATTTATGTAACGTATCATTGGTTTGTCGACGATTTAAAATGATTGCTGATCAAGATGAAATTTGGAAATTGAAATGCAATTGTGAGTAATACATGTTTTCCTCACTTAATTATATTTGTAAACATGTTAAATAGCATCGAAAAAAATATATTCAAAATCATTCAAACAAATTTATCTCGATTGGATTTATATGAAATGTTTACGCAATGCAAAACTACGGGCGATGAGTGACTGGTTCCATTCTGCATGTGACATGATTCTACTACCTTCATATTCATGTCATATTCGACCGACTGATAATCAACAGTTTGAAGCTATTGGTGGATTTCACCAACATCCGAATTCATCATCATCTATGTAAAAATTAGCTTCTGTTGTGTTTTTGTTGAAAAATTATATTGTTTAATCTTAAACATAAAATTGATTAAGGTTATCTCTCCTCTGACGAGTCGTTTTTTTGTCAAAGAAAGATTATTTTTGGAAAAAGTATACAAGAAAGTTGCTTAGGATCTCTACATTGAATATTCATTAAAAAAATCTCAACCTTCAAAGGTTTCTAAAAGAAATACTAAAAGTTTCAGAAATTTTCTATGCTAATACTCATAAGCAGAGTTAGCTCAAAAACTGAAAGAAACCATGGATATTATTATCTTCTATTAGTTACGTGTCATTCTGGAAGTATAAGTCTATGCATTTTGAACTATGATGGTGTTTTTCAAATTACAGAGGTTTTGACATTCCCCAAAATTGAAGAGAACAACAATAAAAAAAAATCCCTTCGCTTCATTTGAAAAGGTAAAACAGTTGTCTTTCAAATAAAACAAATCTTAGTTCTCTACTTTGAAGTATAGTGAAAACAATTTCTATGGATTAAAAGTTTCTTTTTAGGTTTTAAGTTTTAGAAAATTCCTGAACGTTGAGATTTAAAGAAGTAAAAACAAACATTTCGTAAGTTTATTTTTATAGGCCCAACATTTGTGGAAAGTTACAGAGATATCCTATGCACTAGAACGAATATTGATTTTGGAAAGAAGGAACGATATCAAGAAAGGTTTGATAATTTATACTCCTAATTTTTAGGGCTATCGAATTATCAGTTGACATTGAAAAAACAGCTCCAGAACTTATTCAATTGCTAGAGAAAGCGTCGCAATTTCAACAACAATGGCAACAACCATCGATTGTAAAACATATGATAACAAGATATTATAGATTTATGCAACTGAAAGCATCTCACCCATCAAATATTTTACTTGTTCCAACTTTTGATATTGAAATTGTTTGGCAAACAAACCTTTTACGGCCAGCAATGTATCAAGCCGATTGTCTTCGTTTATTTCGTCGAGTTATTGATCATTCATTATTAATCTCTGATATTGAAAAGTTTTTGAAAGATCAAGCATTTCGAGATACATGTCAACTATACGAACAACAATTTGGTCAACAATATTGTCCATTACCATCAACAGACAAAAAAAACGATGTTGCATCATACTCTGATCATTATCAGTTAAATGTAGACACCGATACTAATCCTACCTATTCGTATTGGGATAAAACTCATTTGAATTCTCATCTGAACAACCTAACGATTATGAAAATCCTTTTTCATTTACCGAAGGTGATTTAATTACGGATGGAAAATGGCTTGATTTATGTAAACAATTTATGTCAAGAGCATTAAAAACAGCTCATCTTGACGGCTATCATCATATTTGGTCAAGCGGAATTGATCTGCAACCTGGAGCAATCAATCGACTAAAAAAATCATATGAACGATTTTTGTATATAGCAGCTAAATATCCTTTAAAAGATGGTCACGAATTCATACGTCCAACATATGCGGTAAAATATTCAACATTAGAATGATATTATTTATACTTGTTCAGATTTTTCTAGATCGACATCATGTGGCATTCTCATATGCAAGAACCATTAAACTATGTCGCCGATTGTGTTCGAATTGTTGGCTATGTCATCTATCATTCTCCGTGGCCAATAAATAAAGATGATACAAAGAATAAAACATGTATTCAAGCGAATAAACTTTGGAAAGATGAATTTAAAGTTGATTTAATGATAGATCATCTATTTAATACAATTGATGACAAACTCGACTAAGTCTTCTAATATATTTTACATTTAGTAGATGTTTATGTATTTTTTAATCAGCTAAAAATTAAATTTTATTCTAATCAAATAAACTGGAGAAATTTTGCTAAAGAAATGAATCGGACTTACTATGAATATTAGATATGCCATAGTCTGTTTCAATTATACAACAACAAAAAAAAATCCCTGTTTGCGCAATGTTATGCAAATTTGTTGATCTATATACTTATCATTTAATCCGAACTAAATTATTTGTAGAGTGATAAATAGGTTATGAATAATACTTCTAAAATATGCATTAGAATTATTTATCGAAAATGTATCAGAAAAAATTGTCTTGTCGAAATACTTTGTTACAATCTGTAATCATACTAGTTTCATGTTTATTGAGAAATTGTAAAAGATTGTATAGTGAAACACACTATTGGCCATAAGTTCGGGATGTATGATATTCCCTCTCACTTTCAACCATTTTTCATGAAGTTCTTATCAAAGATAGAGCTTGTAAAACTGTGATATTCAGCATTGATCCGAACTCTATTGACTAAGATAGTATGGAATAATGACTTAAACATAAGTTTCACTTCTGTTTATCTGTCAATCAATATTCACGGTTTTTATAAAAAAAATCGATATGATAGAAGTCTTGTTTAATCTCTAAGTTGTTTCATAGCTAATTAATACTAGTTGACTTTTCTCTAGAAATGCCTGTATTGAACGACTATTTCCCAAGGTATTGTAAAGAAAAAAAAATTTATGATTCTTGTTTTCATTTCTCGTAAGTTTAAGATATACATTATACAAGAAGAAAAGTTTACAAGTCATCCTCAATGAAGAGTACAATCATTATTTGAACACGACTTTTTATGCTCTTCACAAGATGGGATGTGGGTGTGGGTGTGGATGAAAAGAAAATCTGCATCCACACCCCACACTCACCCTCTAAACAGATAGTGTTGACATTAGAAAGACAGAAGGATCATCAATTCAGTTTCATCTTTGTGTTAACCAAACAGTTTATGGCATTTAGATCTGTCGAGGACACTCATATTTTACAATAAAACTCGGACGTCTTTTACTAGTAACTCTGACTTATTTTTAAAAGCGAATGTATTTGAGCGATAATAATCCTCAGATGAATATATGTATCGGCATTGATCAGCTACTTGCATATTAAAAAGAAAAGACTCACATACGTAGGTGGAATATATTTTTATAAGAGAAGTAGTGCGATGAAGACTGAAGTGGCTGAAAAATGAGGAAAAAAATGCATGCATTTGACATGAGTGATAATAGATTATTTTTATTTGTTAATAAATACGATATGATTTTGATATGGCACCTCCAGTAGTGATCACGTTTTTTTCCCTCGATCTCTAGTATACCAGGTGTTTCAAAAGTTTTGCAACATTTTTTATTTTGCATATATCTCGACTTGAGAAACTGATAGAATTTTGATTCTTTTTTTAAAAGATGCGCCGTGAAAAACTCTACAAAACGTGTGTAAATAAATCCTTATTAATTGGTTCTGATAGTTTTCCCAAGCTCGATATGAACAACCTCTATGATAGTACTTTGTCCCCGCATGATAAAAATGTTTGGAAGACTTTTTTGTTTTGCATATATCTCAACTTGAGAAAACAATAAAATCTGGATCTTTTTTTTGAAAGATGCGCCGTCGAAAGTTCAATATAAGCAGTATGAAAAAAGTCTCTATCGTCTTGTTGTGATTATTTTTTTGGATGATTGAAAGTAGAGATGCGCGTGATGTTGTCAAATGTTTGTGACATTCGCATATATTTGAGCTTGGGAAAATGATAAAACCGTGATTTTTTTCGAAAAGATGTGCGGTGAAAAACTCTACAAAAAACTGTGTAAACAAATCCCCACTGACGTGTTCTAATGATTTTTCCTATGCTTAGAATGAACAATCCATATGGTAGTGCCAATAATAAAAATGTTTGAGAAACTTTTTTGTTTTGTAAATATTTCGACTTGAGAAAACGATAAAAACTTAATTCTTTTTTTGAAAGATGCGCCGTCGAAAGCTCTACGCAAATTGTATAAAAAATCCTATTGCTAAACAAAAAAGTCTTCCAAACATTTTTATCATGCGGGGACAAAGTACTATCACAGAGGTTGTTCATATCGAGTTTGGGAAAACTATCAGAACCAATTAATAAGGATTTATTTACACACGTTTTGTAGAGTTTTTCACGACGCATCTTTTAAAAAAAGAATCAAGATTCTATCAGTTTCTCAAGTCGAGATATATGCAAAATAAAAAATGTTGCAAAACTTTTGAAACACCCGGTAATAATTATATCTGCCTGATTTTTTTTTTACATTATAAATATGTATGCTGCCTCTTTTATAGCATTCATTTCATAGTTTTGATCACAAAGGAAAGATCGAATCATGAAGTTGCTTTTAATATTTTTGACCATAGTGTTACAAAAATCACTGACGATTGGCACTAATCGAAATGGTCGTTGTCCTTCTCCAGAATTTATCGCTAGTGGTTTATCATGTTCAACTGTAGGAAATGATAGTGTCTGTCCATGTAATTATAAATGCTGTCGAGCTCTGTCAATGAATAGTATCGATCCGTCCAATTCACGTCCAAGTTATTATGTTCAACCATGTGAAGATCTCCGAAATTGTACGCTTAAATGTCCATATGGTTTGGATATTAATGCTGGTTGTCCAATTTGTCAATATGGTCGTGGTGGTTGTAATGAAAATACATGTCGTTTGCGTGAAACTTGCCAACTAATTTCATCTCCATGTAGATATGTTCCAGGACAACGAATATGTCCTTCATGGGTTGTATGCGTGAAAAAACATTGATCAGATAATTTTTATTGCAAACTGATCTTTTTAATTCATTTATTTTCTCCAACAATAAAATAAACAAAACATACGGAATCAGTGCTCTACGACTAAATATTTATTATTGTTTTTCGCTTTTACAAACCTTTTTTTTCTAGTAACAAATGATCTTGGTTTAAATATTTGACTATCTGAAATTTTTTTTCCAATTGATTTCGGTTGCATACTGATACAAACTGTTTGAACAGTTGACACAATTCGATAAAGATTTTGTGTTTCGTTTTAAATCATTTTCATGATTTTGAATATTATCATCATAACATTTTTGACAAAGTATCCCATAACAATGAAGACATGTATCAAGGTCATTTGATAGATGTTATTGATAGTATCTCAGTCAAACATGAAAGTTTGGAAAATGCGTGTGTTCGCAAGAAATTTTTCAAACATGCATTTACTCACAAAATACCCTTTAGTGTGTCTAATCTTATATGTGACCTAGCAAGGCATTTGAAATTGTTGCATTTTTTGCGTATGAATGCAAGTTAACAATACATGCATAGAGATGCATGTTGCAAACGCGTGCATGTAAATGCGAATTATTAAGTTTTTCAGCAAAACATGCAAAATCATGCATGACTCTGATGTTTGAAAACACTTGCATGCACTGATCTAACATTATCATGAAAGACATATGGCTCAGGTGGAAATGCCAAAGTAACAGCTGCGCGTACCGGCAAAATGGTCAGACTTTCTCCAAACCTTGCATGTCACTGCAAAAAAAGTCCTATTTATGAAAGGTAATAGTAAATCGATTCTGCGTTGATGTGCAAAATTTGACTATTTTGTAGTTTACATGCTGCTTCATGCAAAAATTGTGTTTTTCTCATCGAGCAGTCAACCTATCCCGCGATGTTGCACATAGCGGGAATCAATTCCGTCCCCGGAATCAGTTCCATCCGATTCCGAAATTCCCAATCGTCGAACTAACTCGACTTCTTCGAGAACGATCGAGTTCCCTCAATTTTCGGAATTAGACGAAATCGGGGGCGATGTACTTTTCGTCTCAAGTAATTCCGAACTCCAGACATGTGACCGGATGTTCGGAAGTGAAATTTTGTCTTTGAATATTTATGACTGGACATCATAAACATTTTTGTACCGAAGGTCGTAATAGAAAAGCAGGAAAACCGGAATGGCGTGACTGGGTGTTCGGAATATAATGCTTTTTGGGGTGTGGGGTGTGGGTGTGTGGGTGGGTGTGGGTAAAGTGAAAAACTACACCCACACCCACACCCTAATGTCCTCTGAAGTCCCAGTTGGTGTGATAGCAATCATAACAAGTGACGTGTCTAGGTAACTGACGATGACAGATTTATTTTTTACTATGACTCAACCTATTGTCTCTCATCATAAGATTCTGTGCAAAACCTCTGAAGTACGACAAAAATCCCGAAAATCCTGTAAAAATCCATGCAATCCCGTAAAAGTCCATGAAATCTCGTGAAAATCCTGAAATCCCACGAAAATCCCAAAATCTTCTGGAAATCTTCTGGCAATCCGCGAAATCCTAAAAATACGACAGAAATCCTAAAAATATGGAAAAAATCCTGAAAATCCCGAAAATACGCAATCCGCCGTTTCTCCCTTGGGAATAATAGTGAGTAATAGAAAAGCTTAGAATGATTTAGTTTCCTGGATCTTCATTCTTGAGATATCGAAACTTTATCTGATTTTTCAACAAAAAGCTATGGTTCCCCTTAGGTCACATGAAAATTAAACTTTTGACTTCAAGTTTTGCACAAACAAAGTTCTCAATGAGATTAGTTCATTTGACAAGTTGTATCTTTTCCAGTATCTCGTGTCATGGGATATTGAATATTCATCTCATTCAGAAATGTGTTCATACAAAATTTGAAGTCGACAGTCGACTTTTTCATGTGATCTGAGGAGAAGTACAGCTTATTGTTGAAAAATCCAATAAAATTTCGATATCTCAAGAACGAAAGCACAAAAAAACCAATCCATTCTAGACTTTTCTATTACTCACTACTATTCATCAAATAAATATCGTCTCAACCGAAGGGCGATTTGACATCTTGGGAGGTTTCCTTGTCAGTTAGGGTACAAACTACAAGAAAATCTTAGTCTACACATTTCTACTATCAATGTATTGTATATGTTTTATATTTTCCTATACTCCATAGATTCAAAAATGTTATATAAGTACTTGTTATTATTTTAGTTATCCTATGCTGTGATAAACGAAATATAACTAATTTCTATTCTTATAGTTTCAACAATTACGATACAAATTTATATTTGGTAGCCGTTCATGTAATTGGTCATGCACTTGGCTTAGATTATACATACAATGAGAAATCCATCATGTATCCATCTTATCAACCAATGCCAAAATCACGCATTCTTCCACAACCTGATCGTGATGAAATTCAATCTCTATACGGTAGAAATCAATCATCTGGAACAACACCAACAACAAGATCAACAACAAGAAGATGTTATACGAGAACAAGAAGTTCTGTTACAATTCCTTCTGGAAAAATACATATTCGTTGTCGTCTCTTTCTTGATGCTGCTTTCAATCATCCTGATGGTATATTCCATACATTCAATACTGGCGTACTTTGGCGTTATCTACCCGATGAAAATAGATGGGAAAATCAACCAACATTCGAAAAAATTTATCCAAATTTACCAAATAAACTAAAAGCAGGTGTATATGATAGTCGAAAAAATGAAATTATATTTTTTACAGATAAATATGTTTATCGTTATGATGTTAATGATCGAAATCGTATCAAATATCGAGGTGAACAAAATCTTCCAAGAAATTTCCAAAATTCAATTGTTGGTGCTCTTTATTATCGTAGTGAAGTTTATATAATTACATCAAAAACAATACGTTTATTTCAAGTAAATAATAGCTATCAACAATCAAATGATCAAGATTTAAGTAAGGAATTTCCACGTCTTACTGGTACAGTGACAAGGGT